CATCAGGAAATACTGCATAAGAGCTGCCACAGCTACACAACCAGCCTGCAAGGAATAGATTATCCGTAAAAATGTAATAATTTTCATGACTAATGACATTTGCCGAAATAATAATCCGAAAAAAACAGAAAGAAACAAAAACAAAAGTAAACAGAAAGAACAAGACAAAACTACAACATAGAAAACATGAAAACAAAAACAAAGTAACAAACAAAGAAACAAACAAACCAAACAAAAAACAAGAAAAAGGAATAACTCGGTAGATTAGTCAGTCTTTAAATCGTAAAGAAGCTGGACCAAGTTAAAAAACAAACAATCACAAGAACAGCAATATTAAATGAGCAACACGAAAGTAGGAGTTCAAAGAGTCACCTGGTTTCCAGTGGAGTTTATTCCAGCGAAAAAGATGATATGTCCTGCTCCAATGCAGGAAGTCAGACTAACCCGTATGTGACACAAAGGTGAATTTCTGTCTCTACAAACAAGCCAATAAATAGCAACTAAATGAAATTGATTTAGCAGTCAGGCAAAAACAGAACTAAGGTCAATAAATTGTAAAAGAAACCATCAAAAAGACAATTGCGAATGATCCACCAAATGAATGAATAAATACGCTGACAAATTATGTTCTTTACATGAATTATTTAGAAAATATAGAATGGATAAAAGAATACCGACTCCAAAGTTTCAATTTTACACTAACGTTAGTCTAGAGCTATTTTCACTCCTTGTCGAGACATCATTTTTTAAGAAAGATCATCTCAGAACGTTTGATTTCTTTTTCAGTTACAAGCGGTCTGTGCTGACATCGATCCAGAACTGATCTGATGACTTATTTTCCTTATAGTTAATTTCCCACAATTCAGTAAATTATAAGCGTTAAGTTAGCGTACTTACGTGAGCTGAAGATAGCTGATAATCGTGAGTATGACTCCAGTGAGAGATAAAGCCATCCCTACTCGAGTGAGGAGTGTCAGTATTTTGTCATGCTCACCTGACGAACGAGTTTTATCCTGATTGAAAAACTGTAAAGGTCATTATTATTTTAGCTGTATCAAAGGAAATTTTTATATTAATAAATGAACATAAATGCGATAGTTTTAATGCCACTATGTACCTTTTTTAAATCCGTATGACTTTTTTTGTATAATAGAAAAAAATATTCACCTTCCCGTCGTCAGCATTGTCGGTAAATTCCATGAACACAGCGAAGTGGGTTAGATGATTGCAAACACATTCCGTATGGTGATCAGAGATCATCTCCGTTTGACATCCTTCACTTGACCAACTCCCAAAGCTTTATAAGGAATCAGATAAGGAGAAAGGAGTCAAAATAACTAATTCGATTGGAAACCCCTCCCCCCTCCACCTGAAAAGAGTTCAATTTACTTTACTAATTGCTTTTAAGTGATTTCTGATACTTTTAGCTTCCTTTCAGATGAAAAAGTGGAAGAATTGATGCTGTTTATAAAATTTATGTTACTGTGGTGCTTACTTTTCTTCAGAGAAGCTCCAAAATACACATGCTCTTTTTTTACGATTCACCTATTGGGAAAAAAAAATAAAGTGTTGTGATTGAAAGAGTGATATGGCGAGGCTTCAGCGCCCGCCTCGGTGATGCCTTACTAGTAGCTGACTGTTAAGGTGTCATAGATATAGAATATCAATGTAACCCTCCAAGTTAAAAAGTAATTCTCAACATGGAGGTGTCTGGGACCACTCCATAATTGAGGTCTAGATTTGTTATTCAGCAAAAACCAACTTTTTAAATTTATCTTTTAATTCGAATTCCTCAAGTCTTCGATGTAAAATCGAGGAGGGCTGCCAGTGTCTGATAGTGCCCCCCTCCCCCCCTCCTGTGGTGGCTTCAAGGTGACGAATTTAAAAAATTGCAGGAAGCCTTATGGGATGTAATGCTCATTTATTAGTCAAGTCTCGAGCAGTTTTCAAATTAATTGCCAGTCATCAAAACTTAGTTTCAACTGAGGGAAAAGATGACAACATAGTCACCCAAATAAGGAATGAATGGACTATTGGTGTTTCCCTTTCATGAAACAAACAAAAACACAAACAAACAAGAAAACGCCAATTCAATTAAAACAAAGGTAAACATAACGAAAGAGTAGCGTATATACCTGCATGTTCTTAAAAACCAGTGTGACGTTTTCCGGTAGAACCTTGGGTGGAGGGTCTATAACGGCGGCCATAATTACACTGTCAAGTATCCTGAAAAAAAAAAAACAGCTTGAATGATCAAAAAATAATTAAACGCTTCTTTTTCCACTCCATTTTCAGTTATCAAAATAAAATATACATACTTTGTTTTGTTGTCTCTCTCAGTGTCAGCTGAATGGTTTGATAAAAGTTTAGAAAGGTTGGTGTATTCGAGCCCAAGTACTGTGGAGTCTGTTTAAAAGAGAAATGAGAAATCTATTGATTTCGGTTTCCAAAGATGTAGTTGTTTTTTGAAAAACGACCATGGCTTTTAAATGCTCTGGGCACCAATGTCATTACAGACAGCTGAATCATGAAAAAGCGCATTACTCAAAATTTTTCAAAACGCATAAAGTTTATTCGTAATGACACCCAAAAAAGAGGAAAGAATAGAAAAGGAAGAGGCTTGAGAAATTTCAAAACAGAAACCAATTTGGACAAAGATGGAGAGAAAAAGGGAAAAAGAAAACAAGAACTCACTGTATCAAGTGCACACTAGTGCATATTGCAAATTTGGTATTGCACCTCGGAATGAAGCCATTTCCACTGAAGAGTTGACTAAGAAATTATGGGCAATTGTCTTGAAATAAATTGACTCAAACCAAGGAAGGGTTTTTACCTTGATCCAGATTAGCGGAGGGAATCTTAATAAAGTTCCCCCGATTGCTCCCATTAAACAGAAAGTCATCTCCTCTCTGAAGGACATTACGTCTAACTCGAAAGTCTATATTGATAAAAAAGCAAAATATGTGATGCAAATGCTACAGCGTCAACATATATTTCACTTGCCTTCAGAGTAAAACTGCATGTGCTCAGTACAGGCAATGACCCGCATGACTAGAATTTATTCAGTTGCATTTCCCCCAACTCATGATTTTGCATGCAGTCATTCCCAGATAATGGAATTGAAAGCCACAGTTCATGCCTCCGATAAAGAGATATCAGAATTTTGTGGCTGATGTAAAGTATAGTGCTGCTGGCTGTTAATATACACGTATTGCTTGCCTGAACACATACATGATGAAGCTCATTTCCGAGAAAAAGAGGAAAGACTATTTTGCACTTACTCAGATCTTTATCGACATCAATAAATTCGGGATTTGTAGCGTGCAGCCACCTTCTGGCAGTGCTTAATATACAGTCTTCAAAGATGAACGCAGCAAAGACAGTATCCTCCAGTTTTTGATCCTTTGGAATCCTTTTTAAATCGTCGAACCGAATGCTTTGGATTGAAGATCTAAACCGCTGTTTTGCATCCTTGATGGCTGAAATGATGGTTGGTTGATTTGTAACGTCTGTTACTCCAGTTGTTTCTGTAGTAAAAGCTTAGGAGATAAAAAGCGGGAAATAAAAATTATATCAAACAAAAGGACTGACGCTTGGTGGTATTCGTACTCTATATTAGGAATTTTAAAGGGGTTTGACCTCTTCTACTCAATTGCAAATTACACTTCTTGGCTGTAGAATTTTGAGCACCTTATAGATGTGAGGTTTCGAATGGACTTCAACTCAGGATGTATAAAATTAACAACGATTTAATAAACAGTTAAAAACAGACATGTTGCATGTGATCATCAGTGCAGGCCACAATCGTTTGGAAATCCCATAGTTCGTTGAGAACATCCGGGATCAAAAACTTCCAGTCCATATAAACAATACAATAGACACTGGGCAAATGCCAACATTGTAAGCAAAATTTAACGCCTATTATAAGCTTGCGTCCGCCTGCCTCTCTAGACTGATGAGGTGCTGCAAAAACACAGTACATAACTGGCATCGCTAAACAGTTATACTTATGCTAAAGGCAAACGGAATTGAGGCTCGAAATTGTTTTTTTGGCTTTCTCCTCCCTTAGCATCCCAATGTGAAAAAATCATAGAAGAGTTATGATCTCAAACAAATTATAATAGTAATAATAATAACGATGACAATTATAATAATAAAGATAACAATCATAATGAGAAGAAGAAGAAGAAAAAGAAGAAAAAGTAAAACAATAAAGTAGAAAGGATCAAACAGAAAAAGTGTAGGAAAATACTCACTTGAAACCATCGATTCTAACCTAATGTTAAACTCGAAAGATCTGCAGTGTACTACTTCAAAGTTGAGTTTTTCGTCGCTGTTTTTGAAACAGATTTGATCTGAAGAATATTTATGAAATGCATTATAGCAAGGCTGAGTCGATGTCCCTCCTTCATTGCACCATTTAGAGCATAGACCTTTTCTACGGCTGGTTGGAAACGGAAAGCATTTTATCCTGTGCCATTTACTCGTGAGAAGTCCTTTGCAGTTGGAACCACTACATTCACTCTGCTTCAAGAACGGGGCAGTTTCACACTCATGATCTGTAGGAAAATAAACACCGCAGCGAAATAAAGTAAAGGAACACCTGGCTATTGGACAAAGTGGGAGGAATTGGACAGTTAATAGTCCATTAACCCACTTGAGATTATCTTATTCATTCAATTTTTTTTTAATTTGCTCAAGCCAGCTGATAACCGGGAACTTACTTCGTTCTGCCATTGCCCGGCCGCTTTGAAAAACTACAGGATAGGAAAGGAAAAGAAATGTTACCTTAAATGAAAAGGATACCAATAACAACTAGTAATAATCATTGACTGCGATGCATTTATCGTATAGTTTGCGCAAGTTTTTAATTTTATTTACATCCAAGATGCTCGTTATCTTGGCTTTGAAATAAAACTCAAGTATTTAAATAGCATGTATTTAGGCATAAAGCTTATTCGATGCATTTATTTGCATGAGAAAAATGAGATCTCTTTTCTAAGCTTTTCTTTTTGGAATAATCATGAGGAAATTCTTTCAACCAAAAGCATCGTTAGACTGTGCCTTATGCTAAGTTGTATATTCTTTAAGTTGACTGTTTATAAGCTTGAGTCATAACATCTGGTTGACGCAGTTCACGGCGCTTTCCTAAAGTACATTGTTATTCTGAAAAGCGAAAGAAAAATTACAGCGACTGCTTCTAAAATAATTTCTTTTTTCATGGAACAATTTGTATGTTGGTTTTCTTATTTCTATCCAATATAAAATCGTGTAGTTCAGATCGATCGTGTCACCCTAAGGAAATGTAGTCTTGCCTTTTCGAAAACCCACGGCGTCTCGCGGAATAATAAAGGCGATCAACTGAATGACACTTTTAAACGGAAATTAGCTAAGTAGCGTTGTATCCTCTTAAACAAAATTTTATAGATTGATCATTATCCGTTAAAAATGAGTTGCGACAAACAAACCTATTTGAATATTTTTGTGTTTGAACTGGTTTTTTTGACGTGATAAACTACTGCAAGTTCCGCTTCGGTAGCAGGTTCGCTTTGATCGTTAGCATAACACTAAAAACTCATAGTTTTTGTCTAATATTTTGACTCTGCCTTTCATTATTAATTGAATTTGAAGGACAGTACCGATCCATAAAAACACAAATGTTTAATATTTGCTTATTTAATTTTGTTGTTAAAGAAGTTTCAAATTAAGTGTGTAGATTCTGTCAGTAATTGACACAATTTGACAGAGGAAGTTAGAAAGTAAAG